GTTAGAAGTGATGGAGCTTTCTCTTCTGAATTGGAGAATAGGCTTAGGGCCATTGATGTTGGTTATCACAGTATGGGGAGATTCTGGTACCAGGCACGAGTCCCTTATGTTGAACGACGTGCTGTTTTTCTATGTCGTGTCCTAGGGTCTGCGTTATCAGGCGTCGAGGCTTTCCTCCCAACGCCTGCTCAGCTACAGCGATTGCAGAGCAGAGTAAATATGTATGCTAGACGTGCTATGCGAGGGCTGGCCACTAAGGAGCAGAATGGGCATAAGGTTTCGATCAGCAACGAAGAGGTTTGTAGGTACTGGAAGATGGCACCACTTGAGATCGAACTGCGCGCACGGCGCATCAAGTGGTATCAGCGCTGGGTCCAACAACCTGATCGTCACCTGGCAGAATGGGCAGCTTTGTTTGGCACCATGCAAATCGAGTTGCAGAGAGGATTGCAGATTGTCGGACAAGACGAGCGTCTTACAGATGATGCTTGCCCCTGGGCTCGTAGAGTAATATCAGACATTAACTCCCTGGCAGACTTAGGAGATGATGAATATGAACATGTACAAGAAGTTGATAGTAGTCCATTGAGAATATTCCAGGACGAGAGCTTAGTCGAATGGTTCACCCAGTTTGACCCAAAGAAGTTGCGAGCTAAGTGGTTAAGTGTAGCTATCCCCCCTCCTGGATATGTTCATCCTCAGGAATCGCGACCCGACCCGCCACAAGCAGCAGGAGATATGTTACCATGTCCAGTACCAGGCTGTACTCGTTCTTTCCATACCTCCAGGCAGCTATTGGTTCATCTCAGCAGGGGGCATGAGTTCAGATCTATCCTTGGTCTTGCAGTTACTTCTAATGTATGTTTTGTCTGCGAGAGCGTTTTCGAGAGCCGTAACTCGGTCTATAAGCACCTCATCGACTCCTTCGAAACGGGTATATGCGTCACACACAGAAGCACGACCTTTAAACATCCAGGCCAGGACAACACGAATGAGTGCCCATTGTGTAAGGCTCAAATTCTTGCTGGGGCCTCGCTGCGGGTCCACATACGTACGCATTTCCTCCACCTTCCTGCACTCGACGATGCCGGGGGAGGGCGCGGCACCAGCGGCGAGGCCCAACGAGCGAGAGGCAGCAGGAGGCTCGGAGATGGCGTCGGCGCCAGACTGGATGATCATCGGCACGGCCAACAAGCGCAAGGAGATGGACGACACCTCAGACGCCCAGGAGAACAAGAAGGGGCGGCTGGCCGAGCAGGTCAGGCGCGACGGGCTCAAGATGGGCAACTTCAAGGCGCTGCTCGCCATCCTCACGAAGCTCAGCATCACGAACTCCAGGGAGCTCGCCGACCTCACAGGCGCCTGCTTCACGTGCTTTCTGCTCCCCGCGTGCGCCCCGCTGATCGGCATCATGCAGCAGGCGGGCAAGGACTACGCCCAGGACTGCAAGAAGAAGGGCAAGCAGCACGGCAATGGCCCTCCGTGGCCGCACGTCTTCCTGGCTCTCCTGAAGCACTTCTGCCAGATGGCGGACCTGGACGAGCCGACGATCAAGGCGTTCAAGACCTACTGGGGGGTCATCACGAGCCTCAGCAAGCAGGAGGGCCTGATCCAGTTGCAGGAGCAGATCAGGTTCCTGCGCATCAAGGGCTGCTGGTACGATCGCAAGAAGGACGACAAGCCGACCAGGTTCAAGCTCCAGTTCATGATGAGCCCCAACTCTCAGGTCAACGGCGTGAGGAACACCTCCGACCAGACCAACACGATTCCGCTTCATCAGGCCTTCTGCATGGCGATTCTCAAGCAGGGCGGGGAGCACAAGGCGGGCGGACCCCCCAAGGGGGCGTTGGAGAGAGAAGCGGAGAAGCTGCTCAAGCGCATGGGGATCGAGAACGACAGGCAGCCCATCGAGGTAGACAGCGACCAGGACGGGGAGGGGTTCTGAGGCCGTTGCGCCTTGAAGCAGTGAACGGATCTGAGCGTATGGCAGAGATGTATAGGGAGGGCCGCCTCACGGGCACACAATTACAGGCCCTGCAGGATCGCGTCTATCATCCCATCTTGAGGTATTTTAACGGTAGCCGCAGTGTCTTGCTGCATCAGGTAGGCAGTGCAGACCCTCCCGCCATCATGTCATTTGAAGAGTTCCAGCAGCGTAGTGAGCAGGTGCGCAGAATAGAAGTCAATGTAGAGACAGTGCCGAATCAGAGCAATCGTGCCGCTAGTAGATATCTCCACCCCAATCCCATGCCGCCAGCAGAGTGACTCTGGCATTGGGGTCGCCTGTAGACACAGAGCAACGGGAATCAAAATCTGGCGGGGCATTCCTCTACCAGTCCGCAGAGGACCCAGAGCTCTGGAACAACCTGCGCCGGCTATTCGCCTGCGCGGCAGTGCGGGCCGCGGCAGTGCGGGCCGCGGCAGTGCGGGCCGCGGCAGTGCGGGCCGCGGCAGTGCGGGCCGCCCAGGCTCGGGGTTTTCCATATTGCAAGAGAGAAGTGAGAAGCGTTGCGACCTTGCTCACTTGTCCTCCCTCCTTCCCCTGCTCTGTCCGCCCGTGCTTGTTCCTTTCACGAAGGATGGTGCCGCGTGCGGGCCGCTGGGCGTTCCCCTTACAGCGGTCCCGCTTCGGCCAGAGAGGGCCATCCTTCCAGCGTCGGCCGCTGGTAGGCGATAGTTCGCATCCAAGAGCCTGCAGAGGTCACCAGGACTGCTGAGTGACAGAGGCTCGCAATGGTTGATTGATTGATTGATCCTCCTCCTCCTCCTCCTCCCCTCCTCCTCCTCCTCCTCCTCCTCCTCTCCTCCCCCTCCTCCTCCCCTCCTCCTCCTCCTCCTCCTCCTCCTCCTCCTCCTCCTTCTCCCCCTCCCCTCCTCCTCCCGCGCCTCGCACCGCCTCCCCCTCCCCCTTCCCCCTCCTCCCCCTCCTCCTCCTCCTCCTCCTCCTCCCCTCCCCCTCCTCCTCCTCCCCTCCACCTCCCCTCCTCCTCCTCCTCCTCCTCCACCTCCCCTCCCCCTCGCCCCTTCTCCTCCCCCCCGAGAACGAACAGCGGGAGGGTCTGTGTTCCCCACGCGCGACCCCCCTGCGGCGGACTCCGCGGGCTGCCCCGCCACTCCCAGCACGGCCCTCGCGCGGTAGCCCCTGGCGCCCTGCGTGCTAGGTTTGGGGATGCCTAGAAGCACGTTCCATACGTCACGGAAGTGGCGCGGGGGGGAGGCCCCCACCAGGCCCAAGTTGCCGCACCCCCCGGATTTTATTCTCTATCCCCCCTCGATCCTCGATCCTCCTCCTCCCCCTCCTACCTTCTCCCTCTCCTCCTCCTCCTCCTCCTCCTCCTCCTCCTCCTCCTCCTCCTCCCCTCCTCCCGCTTCTCCTCGATCGTCGGATGCTCCTGACCCTCCGCCTCGATCTCGATTTCGTGCTCCCGCCTCTCCTCCTCCTCCCTCACCCTCCCTCCTCCTCCTCCCCCTCCCGGTCCTCCTCCTCCTCCTCCTCCTACTCCTCTTCTCCTCCCCCCTCCTCCTCCTCCTCCTCCTCCTACCTCCTCCTCACTCCTCGACCCTCCATACTCGGCCCAGTGCCGGAACGCCGAGCACGAGAACGTTCACCAGCACTGATCAGGTCGAGCCCTCGCACCGACCCCCGAAAAATCGGTCGCCGGTCGGGGCCTGGGCGCCCCACGCCGCCGCGGGGCGCGCGGGCTGTCGCCAGCGGGGGGCCTGTCGTGAAGTCGAGCCCGTCCCGCCACGGGAGGAGCGCTCGAGAGCAGCAAAAGGTAGTGGGGTGGCGATGTTGGGTGCTTCCGTGACTATGTTGGGTCATTGTTTGACCATGGCTTCGTGCTCAGGGAGCAGCAAAAGGTAGTGGGGTGGCGGTGTTTCGTGCTCTGGTGACTATGTTTGGGTCATTGTTTGGCCATGGTTTCGTGCTCAGGGAGCAGCAAAAGGGTAGTGGGGTGGCGGTGTTTCGTGCTCTTGTGACTATGTTGGGTCATTGTTTGACCATGGTTTCGTGCTCAGGGAGCAGCAAAAAGTAGTGGGGTGGCGGTGTCTCGTGCTCTTGTGACTATGTCGGGTCATTGTTTGACTATCTTTCGATTGTCTTCCAAAATCCGCCTGCCGGAGGACGTGCTCGGATGAAGCCTATCGGCGATGCGTCGGCTCAGGGGAAACCTTTAGGGGAGAGGCCCAGTGGGGACGGTAGCCCACCCCGCCCAGGAACGTGCGCATTCGCCATCGGGGGCCCATCTCCCAGTCTTCCCCCTCCTCTTCCTTCTCCTCCCCCCTTCGCTTCCTCGTTCTCCTCTCCCTTCTCCTCCTCTTTCTACTTCTTGTCCCCTGTGAGGCAGGACTCGGGGTGAGGGTGGGAGGGAGGGAGGATGCGGGGGAGGAGGAGGGCATGAAGCTGTCAAGACTCACCCCACACTTAGGCGAAGCAGCAATACCCGTCGTGATTTTTTGTGGCCTGGCCTGGGGTGCGTTCGGGCCAGAATTCCAAATGGAATCCCGCGGTGGCGACGGGACTCCTCCTAGAGGCCCAGAAGGGGCGAAGAACGTCCCAGACCCTCCGACCTGGAATCTCATGCCAGGACTCAAGAACATGCTCTGCATATCTCAGGAACGTGCCCGACTGAGGGAAGCGGGTCCGCTGATGAATCTGAACCACCAATGGCCCACGAATGACCTGTGAATGGTTTTTGTTGGCACGAATGGCTAATGGCCCTCTGATGATCTTGGATCGGCTCGCTGCTCGATTTTCTTTCGCATGGTCGCGATTGCAGAGATCAGTCGTGCCGAGTCAGGCGGTCATCAGCGTGCCATCAGCAGACCCGGGGGCACTGTGGTGCAGGGCCCTTCATGCGAGTAACCTTCTGTGACGGCCCCAGGCCCCCCCCCGGAAACGGCGGCAAGCCTCCAGGACCCTTCTCCTTCCCTCCAGGATCCCTTTTCCCTCCAGGACTCTGTGCCTTTCGCTCGAAGAAGGGAACTGCATACGTATCAAGTTTCGAAGGTCTGCGCGGACTCCTTGGCTCTGCGGTGGGCCCTCCCTGGCGGCACCTCCCCCCTGGCGCGCGGAGCGCGCCAGAATGGGGTGGCCGGCCCCGATATCCAAGAACTCCGCGTGGGCCTGCGAGAGTTACAGTGGGGGCGCGCAACAAGAAGCCACCTGCTTTTCGTCAGGGTACCCTGGGTTTCAAAGCTCCGCGCGCTGCGCGGGGACCTCCCCGCGGTCGTCAGAGAGGCTGTTGCGTTCAGGGTTCTCGGGGTTTCGCTCAGGTGCACCTCGCGCGCGGGTTTGCAGTGCTTGGTTTCTTGCGAGGGTTTCTCGCGACCGCGTCCGCACTGTGTGCTTTCGCAGAGCTTCCCTGCCTCCACCTGCGGGCGGTCTTGATATCCATGTCCAGTGCGTCTTGGACTCGGATGGCAGGAGCACCGCACGGCCGAGAGGTGCACCGGATGGGCGCAGCCATCGAGCCTCCAGAAGGGGTAGTCGTAGTCAGTCGTAGTCAGAAGCTTTTCACGCGTCGTTCGGGCGCGTCTCAATCAATCAATCGATCCATGCGGGGCCAGATTCTCAGCCATATCCAGTGCGCCCCGGGGTTCTGGGGAAGGGACCCCGAATCTCCAAGCTGCAGTGCATATGGACACACAAGTCTTGCCCGCCTCCCCTCGCGCCGACACGCTGCGGCCCCGGCCCCCAGGTGCGCGTGGGTGGAGGGCCTGGACCCGAAGCTGTGCCCGCGCCCGCGGGGGCGGGCGGGGGGGGCAGGCGGTGGGAGCGGTGCGGCCCCACCCAGCGGGCCGATCGCAGCTCGGCATCGCTCGGGCAGGTGCGTTTTTTTGTTTCTTTCCTCTCGACGAGGGCCAGCGAGGAGCATCCTGGATCCCGAGGAAGAAAACATACGCCATATCACTGAGGATCAAAGAGCCCGTAACCCTGATGACACGATGAAGACGTAGCCTCACCGAGGTCCCCGTCGTCGTATTAGGGATGATCATTCTGGGCGGTTTGGCTCGATAGTGCTGCAGAAATGACCCCCTATCCCTAACGTCACTGGCCCTCCTAATTTTACCTAACTTTATTTCCCTCCAAAGGGTTTGGGGTTAGGGGTCCTTTTGTGGTCCATTAACACACATCCTTTTTTCGACGATTGGGTCGGGCATGTCCCTCTACAGGAATATTCAAACATAGCACAAATTTATTTTGGCACGAATTTTACATTATTTGTTTGACAATGTTTGAAGATTTGTCCAAAATCCGCCTGTAGAAGGACATGCCCGACCTAATTCTGGGACCCTCGAGCCAATACAAACGCGCACGAGACCGAAAAAGCGCACGGGGAGTGGGCGTCCGAGCGATGGCGGAGGTCACGGGGCTCGGAGGGCGGCGGCGGCGGGCGGAGGAGGCCCCTGGCAGCATCGACGCAGGAGCGGCCGGGCTGCTCCGGGCGCCCCGAGAGCGCGCTCCAGAGCACTCTGCATGATGGGCCCGTTTTCCACCACCACCACCATAAGGTGGAGGGGGAAGGAGGTGGAGGAGGAGAAGGAGAAGGAGGAGGAGGAGGAGGAGGAGGAGGAGGAGGAGGGCCCCCTCCCCCTCCTACTTGTGGTGGTGGTGCTGGAAGACAAGCCCACCATGGAAGCAGGTTGCTCCGGTCCTGGCCCTGCCCGACCTCCCCCCTCGGGACCTCTCCACCGGGGTGGCGCAGAAAGGACAATCGCGTTCCTCTACTCGCAGGGTAGCTACTCGCAGATGGCCTGGATCCGCCGCGGGGGATGCACGATCCACTACATGGAGGAAGGCATGCGTGGGCTTTCGGACGTGTGCAAGTAGGCACCCTGCGAGCCGTGGAACGCGCTTCGTGGCAGAAGGCGGGGCAGGGGCAGGCGCAGGGGTCTGTGGAGAATCGCTTGTCAAAGGGCCTCCGGCGGCAGGAAACGTGGGCATCCCGTCGGCGGCGACGACGAGTCGACGGAGACGCCGACGACGACGACGACGGCGACGGCGACGGCGACGACGATTTCTTTTTCTGGATCACTCTTACCAAGTTGAATCCTATGTAAAGAATAACTGAGTTGATTATGGAGTTGTCAGTCTTCTTGTAATTCTACTCAGTGGTGTCTTTTTCTTGATCACAGCGGGCTTGGAAGACGCCCCCACAGCAACCAGCAACCCAGCAGCCTCTTCTGCGGGGGGGCTTCGTCCTCCCCCCCCCTGGAAGTGGTGCCGAAGGCCCCCCGCAGAAGGGACCGTTGAGGATTCCTAGGGATCCCTCAGGTCTCCCCCGGATTCCCAACAACTCCACAGGGCTCCGCAGGAGGCTTCAGGATTCCGGAAGATTCTGCCGTATTTTGATGCCTTGACGTTTTTCATCAATTTGTTTAGATTGACACTCCAGGGTACATTTCGGTCCGATCGATCAGATTCGACATCGGTTTCAGCGGTTCCGATACGATTCGAGTTCTTTTTCCCGGCGATCCGATGTGGGCCGATGTTTTACATGGCGCCGTTATCTATCCTGGCGCAGCCGATCTCAGTCGGCTTCGACTCCGTGCCGATGCGGTCAGCTCCGACGCACATCCCGTTTCGCTCTGAACTCGATGTTGGTGATGACAATGTTCTCGGTGATGATGGTGATGATGCTGGCGATGGCGACAATGATTATTATGATGTTTGCGAATGCGATTGATTTGATATTGTTATATGTGTTGTCGTGTGTATTCTTAATGTGAATCGACTTCTTATGGTAACTAGTCTAGTATTATCCATAGTAGTACTAGTATGCTTGTTCTTTCTTTTACCATTCCTAATGATCATAGTCGTATATTGAGTCTTCGTTTTGCTAATACGCATCCTTATCAAAATTAGTAAGATGAATGCTGGTCTGACTAGTTTTCTCCGTAGTTCGTTCATAGTATTCGTACTGTCATTCATAACATTAGTATCATCAGGCTTACTATCATATTTGTTATTCGTACTTGTACTAACATTGCTAATACTTCGGCTGCTACTACTTTTATAACCATCGTTCTCACCATATTGATACTCGTAGTATGGTCATCACTATCGCCCATACTTCCAACTGTATTATTTACGTCACTAGCATTGAGCTGATGATACCGATGATGATGCCTACGTTGTTGATGAGGGTGATATTGACGATGCTGATGGCTATGACGGTGATGAAGCTGATGTTGATGATGATGAGGAGGATGCGACTAAGGATGCGGATGAGGATGGTGATGATGATGCTGATGGAGATCATGTTGCTGCTGCTCATGATGATGACGGTTATGAGGTAGATGTTGTTTGTGTTGTTGATCGTGATGATGATGATGATGATGATGATCACGATGCTGATTATGATGATGATGATGATGATGATGGTGACCGCCCTGATGATGTTGATGATGAGGATGGTTATGATGATGTTGATGTTCATGACGATGCTGCCGATTTTGTTTATGATGGTGATGCTGATGTTGATGATGGTGACGATGGTGATGGTGATGATGCTGATGATGCTGATGATGGTGATGGTGGTGATGGTGGTGGTGATGATGATGATTATGATGCTGATGATGATGATGATGGTAATGATGATGCTGACGACGATGATGATGCTGATGCTGATGATGGTTATGATGATGATGATGACGATGCTGATGATGATGATGATTGTGATACTGATTGTGATAATGATGCTGCTGCTGATGCTGCTGATGATGATGAATAATGTGATGATGATGCTGATGATGATGGTGATGGTGATGATGATGATGATGATGAGGATGAGGATGATGATGATGATGATGATGATGATGATGATGATGATGATGATGATGATGATGACGATAATGATGATGCTGCTGCTGCTGATGATGATGATGATGATGATGATGATGATGATGATGATGATGATGATGATGATGACCCGCGCACGGGAGCATCCATGGACGCAGCCCTCGGTGGCGGGGGCGCCTTCTGCGGCACCAGGCCGCCCCCCAGGCTGGGTCGCCGTGCCGCGGGCAGGGTGGCGCCGGGGTCGTCTCGGCTTCGAGCAGTCCTGTCGTGCAGACCTGTGCCCCTCTCACACACGAGCGGATCCCAGCACTGCAGTGGGGGTGTGGGGGGGGGAGGAGGGGAGGAAGGAGGAGGAGGAGGAGGAGCAGGAGGAGGAGGAGGAGGAGCAGGAAGAAGAGGAGGATGAGGAGGAGGAGGAGGAGGCGCCGCGGGTGGGAGGAGGAGGCGGCGGAGGAGGAAGAGTGGGTCGAGGAGGAGGCTGAGGACGACGACGATCGTTGAGCGATCGACCTCGTGGCTTTGCAAATCGCCGTAGAAAGGCAGGCGAGACTGGGCAGTCATTGGTCCATGGGACGCGCGCTGCGTTATATAGGAGGAGGGAGGCTTGAACGTAGTCGCAGGGGAGGTCCTCCTCCTCATCCTTCTCGGTCCTCCTCCTTCTCCTCCCCCATGAAGTTGAGGGGGGAGGAGAAAGAGTGGGACCGAGATGAGGATCCGACTTGAGGCTCCAGAATCCTCATCTCGATCCTGCGTCTCCGCCTCCTTCCCCTCGTCTGTGGGTCAGGAGGCTGGCTGACTGCACCAGAGGAGGAGGGAGGAGGATGCGCCCGGCGGGGGTGAGGACGAACCTCTGGTTTAGGGTTTAGGGTTTAGGGTCCACTAGCCCAAACTTGCAGCCCACTTGACCGTGTCCCACCCACCCATGACCCAAAACATATTGATCTCGATGCGGTATCAACACGCGACTCGCAAAACGACGACGAGGACGACACCGATGACGACGACGTTGATATTGTTTTCAAAACGACGACGACGCGGCCGCGCAAAGACACCTGGGACGCGGCTGCAACGGCGATGCGGCCCGCGCGCCACGGCGCGCGGAGGCCGATGCAAGAGCGATGCCATGCGCGCACGCGCGGCGCCACAAATAGTAGCCCCACCACCCCGCAGAAACTTACCGACGCCTTGGCGATGCATAAACCAGCTCGACGCGAGGCGCGCGGAATAATTCGCTGTTGGGCGAGATCGCTGCCCGCGACGCGGCGCGCGAAGGCCGATGCATGGGCGATACGACGCGTGCGCGCGCGAAGAACCCAGCTCGACGCGATGCGCGAGGAATAGTTCGTTGCTCGGCGAGCGCGCTCCCCGCGACGCGGCGCGCGAAGGCCGCGTCGACGAGGCGCAGCTGCGCCTTCCTCCGGGAGCTTCTCGGCGAGAGGCTCCCGGGGGAGGGGGGCTTCTGGGCGGCCGTGGTCGCCCCGCCGCGCTGGCTCCGTGGCGCTTGAGCGCGCCGCGGAGTGACCGCGCGACGGGGCGGCCATATCCGCTCGGAAACCCAGGGGGCCATGTCCAGCCTCCACGGGGCGGCCCCTGGGGAAGGAAGGGTACGGGGGCGGCTCTCAACCCGAAAGGGTCGAGGTCGTGCCCGTACCTTTCGCGAAGGACAGTACTGACGCCATGCTTGGCATACCGAGGCCATGAACGTCTGCCACGAGTCTGGGCGAGGGGAGTACCCTGCACTTTCGCCGCAGGCTCTCCCAGAACGCCACTCCCGGCACTCCGGGAGTTTGCAGATCCTCCCAGAACGCCATTCCTGGCGCTCCGAGGGCAAGGATCTCATAGGGGTGCGTCCTGAGGTTTTATCGGGCCAGAACGCCATTCCTGGCGCTCCGAGGCCAAGGATCTGCGTGAGGGGCGCACCCTGGCGCTCCGAGGGCAAGGATCTGCGTGAGGGGTGCGTCCTGGGATTTTACCGGGCCAGAACGCCATTCCTGGCGCTCCGAGGCCAAGGATCTGCGTGGGGGGCGCACCCTGGGATTTGCAGATCCTCCCAGAACGCCATTCCTGGCGCTCCGAGGGCAAGGATCTGCGTGAGGGGTGCGCCAAAATGGGGGGGGCGGCCGAAGGGGGGACTTAAGGGCTTTTATGATTTAAATCTTTATAGGCTCTTAGTTTCTATGGTTTAGGGTCTACCAGGCGCGGCCACGAGTACACCGTGACCGCGAGCCCACCTGCGGTGGCCGTCACTCCCACCCGCACGCCACCCCACCATAAAGATCATCTCTCCCCTCGCTATAACCACATCGAATACAACGTCGACGACGACGACGACGACGACGGCGACGAGTGGTGTATCCAGTTGGCACGCGAGTGCTCTCACGGGCGGGACGAGTCGGGTCGGGCGGAAGAGGTTCGGCACGCATGCGCAGCGAAGGCTATTTTGTAGAGTGGGTGGATCGGCGCGCAACGGGAGGCACTTTGTATTGTAAAATATAAGAGATCCTGCACGCATGCGCAGGAAGTGCTATTATTTGTAGTAGATGGAGAGGGTTTACATAAGAGGGGCGCACGTTGTATGGTAAAAACCATGAGATTCTGCACGCATGCGCAGGAAATGTTTTTTTTGCATAGGATGGAGGCGGCTCGCAACGGGGGCTGGGCACTTTGTGCTGTAACAAATATGAGATGCTGCACGCATGCGCAGGAAATCCCATTTTTTGCATAGGATGGAGGCGGATCGCGACGTGGGCTGGGCACTGTGTGCTGTAAAAAATAGGAGATGCTGCACGCATGCTCAGAAAATGCTATTTTCTACAGTAGATGGAGCGGGTTTGCATAACGACCGCTTTTGCAGTACTCAGGGTTTAATAATTATAGGATTAGAAACTTAGGGTTTTTGGCGTAGCGTTCGGAGAAACACCTCCGAGTCGGGTCAGCTTCGGAAGGGTTTTCTTTCTCAGCGCCGCCACGCACGCCCATGGTGACTCACAGCGCGTTGGGAATATCCATGCCCATGCCGCCCTTTTGTTTTGCATTGCCCTATAGTTTTTGCGCTGCAAGGTAAGCCCTCGCCCGGAGTACGGGCCTGGCCGGAAGTGCGGTTCGACGTTTTCACATGGTCCAGGGCTGACCCCGACGGGAGCCGCAGGGTCGCCCGCAGGCGGCTGGACCGAGGACTGCGAGGGGAGGCTCAAGGGCGCGGAGGTGGAGGAGGAGGAGAAGCAAAAGGGAAGCAGAGGAGGAGTATGACGAGTACTGCACGCGATGTTGCAAGGCACCCTACTCCCAAGTTTCCTTGTCATAGGTCCCTACAAGAATGTATGTCCCCGTGTCGGGGAGGGTCCCATCGGAAGACAATCATCTGAGAATCCTCCACCGTGCAAAAAGAAAACACGATTCCTGAGGATTCAACGCCGCGAGTCAATGTGGCCGTTGCGTCCAGACATTCCCAACTCGTGCCAAGACACCGCTCCTGGGACATGCCTTCCTCGAATTCACGGGGCTCTTGCGCCTTGGCAGTCCTTCACGGCGAAGAGCACCGTTCTTGGGGTTTCAGCCATGCGAGTTCCTGGATATGGCTGAAATTCGTCTCACGAGTTTGCGCGCCGCCAGGGCGATCGCTGCATTTTTCATGGGAGCCGCCCTCGAGTCTGGAACATTTGCAACGTACGCGCGCGGCGCAGAGGAGAGAGCCACAGTCTGAAAACCACCCGCCCCTCACCCTTGAAACTACAGTCAGGGCGCTGAAGAAGGAACCCTTCTCGTTGGGGAGGGGCTCGGTGCTCCTTGATTGTGTTGCAGCCTGGCCTGGGTTTCCCTGAGGTGTTCGCTGGGAGATCGAAGCTGAACTTTTGGGATCCAGGGGCCTCGTTCCTTATTTGAGGTTCCTTAGGTCAACGCCCCGACTGTACTGCAGGCCTGTAAGACGCGTGAGTGCGGCGCTTCGCTACGGCAAGGGCAGCCTCGGAGCTGCCGCACGTTGCAAGACAGGCGCGCGTGGCGCTACAGTGGGGGCGTGTGCCAAGAAACCAGTTGGATTTTGCCAGGGTGCCCTGGGTTCCTTGGATTTCGATGTACCCCCTGATAAGATCTTGACGAGTTTCGATCGACAGATTTTGGTTCTCACTGAACAAATCGCGGATTTCAGGCTTGGGTTTCTTGCGGAGGTTTCTTTTGGCCGAGCCCCCACTGTAGGGCGAAGACCACATGCTGAAGACTGCTCGCCTTCAATGTTTTTGAAGCTGCTGCAAATCTCGAGCTTCGGGGTCATGTCTGGTGACCGCGTCCCCGGGCGACCGCCCGGCGCGCCCAACACACGTTCTAGAGGAACGAGAGGAAGGAGCCATTCTGAAACATGGATGGGGGAGGAGAGGGGAGGGATGGAATGAGGGGAGAAGGGAGAGGAGGAACAGGAGGAGGGAGAGGAGGAAAGCACGCAGAGAAGAGGGGGGGGGAGGAGGAGAGGAATGGAACGAGGGGGATAAAGGGACAGGAGGAGGCAGAGGCTGAGGAGAAGCATGCAGGCGTGGCGGTTCGGTCGCCTACGCTGGCGTAGCACAGATAGGAGGAGGAGGAGGAGGAGGGGGAGGAGGATGAGATTCAGACGATGGTGATATTGGTAATGATGATGAGACGCTGAGGCTGATGCGATGAAAATGGCGATTGATGGTAATGGTGATGGTGCAGATGGGGATGTTGCGGCTGATAGTGGCGATGGTGATGATAATGGCGACGGCGGTGGTAATGATGACGATTTTGATAGTTTGGGTATGACGATAATGATGCGGTGGTTGTTGATGAGGATGGTGGTAACGAAGATTACGGTGATGGTGGTTGCGGTGATGATGATGTTGATGATTGTGGTGTTCACGATGAAGCTGGTGATGGCGATGATATGGTTGATGAAATTGCTGTTGCTGGTCACGAGGATGGTGTTGAAGATGATGCAGATGCAGGTTGTGGTGGTGGTGTCAGTGATGATGGGTTGGAGAAGGTGGCAAAGATGGAGAGAGGAGGAGGGGGAGGAGGAGGAGGAAGAGGAGGGGGAAGAGGAGGAGGAGGAGAAAGGGTGCGCGCTTCCTCGATCGTGCTGGCTTCTCCGGGCGCGCTCTTCGGTCGGGCGCCGTCCACGTCGCCGCGGTGCTGCGCGTGTGTCGGCCGAGCAACAGAGGAGGGATTAGCATGGGGAGGCGGAAAACGGAGGGGACGAGGAGGATGAGGAGGCGGACCAGTGTAAACCCACAAGCCATCACCGATGTTGGAATCCACCCTCCCTCTAACCTGCCTCTCCATAGGACCCTGCACCGGCTCGTTTCCATTAAGGGAACTGCTTCGGCGGAAGACGACCGTTTGAAGACCCTGAAGCATGCCAAATTATTGTTATTTGGATCTCTTAACGCCACGGATCAATCTGACTGTTGCGTCTTGACGATCCTGAATCGTGCCAGACTGCCATTCCTGGGGTTTCAACACCGCGAATCAACGTAACTGTTGCGCCCGCATAATCCTGAATCCTTCGAAAACGCCATCTCTGGTTCGTTGACCATGCGTTTCCGTGGAACCTCTTGCACAGTGTATCAATGAATGTGCGCGTCGCTCAGGCGAGAGCCACATTTTGAAAAGGACCCGCTAGCGATCTGTAAAACCCTTGCTTGCAACAGTTAAAACGAAGGTGCGCGGCGCTAAGGCGAGAGTCTCATGTTGGAGACGATTCGCTCCCAATCCGTGAAACTATTGAAAGTAAGTTTTGAAGCGAATGCGCGCAGCGCTAAGACGAGAGTCACATTATGGAAACGACCCGCCATCCATCTGTCAGGATGAGGAGGGGGAAGAAGGACGACGAGTTGGAGGAGGAGGAGGAACTTGAGGATAATGATATGCCAGATATAAAGAAACGGAGGAGGACGACGACGACCGAGGAGGAGGAGGAGGGGGAGGAGGAGGAGGAGGGGGGCGAGGAGGAGGAGGAGAAGGTGAAGAAGGAGGAGGGGGAGAAGGAGGAGGAGGAGGAGGTGAAGGAGGAGGGGGAGGAGGTGAGAATCACGGGGAGAATGATGAGGACCAGGCGGGGAGCAGGAGGGGACGAAACAGTCGGATGGGTAAGGAGATGGGGCGCAGGAGGAGAGGAGGAGGGGGCAGGAGGAGGCGGAGGACCCGGCCCAGGTTCATCGGCAAGAACGTGGCCGTGGCGCGCCTCTCCTACGACGAGGACCACACCTTCGTGCTGCACGCCGTGATGTCGAAGCGGCATTCCGAGGACCGCGCCCGCACCCCCAGGGAGTCCTCCTCCTCCCCCTCCTCCTCCTCCTCCTCCCTCCTCCTCCTCCTCCTCCTCCTCCCCCCTCCTCCTCCTCCTCCTTCTCCTCCTCCTCCTCCTCCTCCTCCTCTTCTTTCTCCTCCTCCCCCTACTCCTCCTCTTTATTCTCCTCGTCCTCCTCCTCCTCGTCCTCCTCCTCCTCCTCATCGTCCTGTTCTCCTCCTCCTCCTCCTCCTCCTCCTCCTCCCTTTTCCTCCCTCCCCCTCCTTCCCTCCCTCCCTCCTGCCTCTTCCCCTCCCTCCCCCCGAGGCGGTTCCTGGTTCGGCGGCCTTGCAGTCGGCTGCATTCGGTCGATTCGGCTCGGTCGGCTGCTGCGGCGCTGCGCCCCTTCGTGTGGGCGGCTGGCGGAGCCGTCGTTGTCGCCTTGCTTCGGGCGGCGGTGGGCCGTCTGCAAGAGCAGCTGGTGGCAATGCTGGCCCGGCGCAGGGGGTCGGGCGCCATGCGGGCCCAGGTCGTGAACAGGCCGCGCGTCTCGGGGGGACTGTGGGAGGAGTGAAGAAGGCGGGAGGGGAGGGGAGGGAGGGAATGGAGGGAAGGAGAGAGGACGGAAGGGAGAGAGGAAGGACAGAAAAGGAGAGGAGGGAGTGGAGGAGAGGAGGGAGTGGAGGGAGTGGAGGGAGGAGGGAGGAGGGAGGAGGGAGAGGGGAGGAGGGAGGAGGGATGGAGAAGGGATGGAGGGGTGTGAGCGCTTCCTCCGCTGTTGTTTCTCCCTTTGTGCAGTCCACCTCGGCATTAAACTCTCACGTTGTTTGTCTCTTGCGCCTCCTCGGCATTTGCTTCAGGTGTCAGTGTTTGTGTTGACTCCGTTTTTTGAAGAGTTCGCGATGTGGGCTGTCAGGGCAAGGGGTCTGCATGTACAGATTCTGTGACCAGCTGCATGCAGGTGTTGGTTTCGGATTGGGTTGTCGAGGATTTTGTCGCAATCGCACAAGTGCGCGAAGCATGATGTCTTTACAACTCTATGGCCCGTAGCCCTTGACTGCGAGGTTGCCGTGGTCTCGGTTGTGAAATCATACGCGGCTGAGAGTATGAGATGGGCTGCGTTGCAGCTCTCCGCCTTGGAAGGCCTTCGCCGTAACCGCAGGCCTGTCATCGATCACACCTGACACCATGATCCGAGTCGACGCGTAAGGCATGCGCAAGTGCAGCCCACTTCATCCTTGCAGCACTTTGTGCTGGTTGCATGGGTCGTGGGACTCCTTGTGCGAATGATCCTAGTGAGTAGCAGTCAGAAGAGTACCGAAGGTTGGGAGTGATATCGAAGTGAAACGGAGACCCTCCGCCAGGACATCGATTTCGGTTTCGGGTGCGTGCCGTGCCTGTGGGCGAGGCAAAGATGCGTGCGCAGACGAGATGAGTGATCTCGCCGTTGTTAAGGCGAATTCGGAGCAAAAGTCTCTCTTCCTCTCTGGTTGGCGGTTTGGGGGTCGAGAGGTTTTCCAGCGGTTGTTCCGTGGTTGTCCCGAGGCGGTCCTTCGGTTGGCCCGATGGTTGTCGCCATGGTTGTCCCGATGGTTGCCCGATGGTTGTTCCGATGGTTGATGTCCCACTGTTGTCCCGATTGTTGCCCCGACGGTTTTCCCGATGATTGTCCCGATGATTGATGCATTGATTGATGGTGATATCGTAGACATAGATAACTAGATATTTGTATATAGATGTATCTGTATAGATGGTAGTGAGTCGATTATAGCTATATCGTGTCACCGATATATAGACAGACTGATAGAGGTTGTCCCGATGGTTGCCCCGGCGGTCGTTTCGACGGTAGAGTGTTTGATTGATCTTTGGATCGATGGATAGGTCGTGGTGCCGATATACAGATGCATCGACAACTATGTGTGTAGTGATTCCGGGAGGTAGGTAGTGGCATTATTGTGCGTATACATCATATATGCATGTGTATACAGTTATGTTTCTAGATAGACCGCCGTACGGATCTATAGATTTTGTGATCGATGGATACGTCGACCGATCTATTGTTTGATGGATGGGAGCGGCACCACCCTTGGTGCCACCCGCCACCCCCTTACAGGCTTGTGCTACAGGTGCTTCAACGCAAGAGATCAGACATTGCAATTGCCATAGTATCCAACTGTCGCGCCATATCCCCGTGATCAGTCTTGTTCGCATTGTGTTGATGTAAGACGTCACCAACGTTGGTTTGGATTGCTGCGGGTCGTGCCTGGCGTTTGCAGGCGACTGCCGATCGCTTTGCCATCCTAGATTAGTCTTCCTCTTCTCCTGGCCTGGTTCGGGCGTCACTGCTGAGCTGCATCTTCAGAAGTTATGACGGTGGTAACAACCAATGATGATGTCTGCTGCAGGAAGAACCAGACGGGAGCAACCCGCCGTACACGCTGAAGACCACGTGGCGCGCGGGGGGGGCGGGGATCAGGCTGGGGAGGTAGCACAGGGGAAGTCTCCAGGCACCCGGCCACCCTTCCCAGAGGTTGGGAGTTGTCTTTGTCCACCGCCCAGGGAGCCGATGTTCCCTTACCTCGGGAGTCGTAGCATGTGGATGTTGTTATGAATATGGCATACTTTCATGTATACGCAAATATATACATCTGTATACACATATTTCTTATATATACATCTATACATATATATATATATATATATACACATGTTCCTTTCAGCTCCCTAGAGGCCACATATGTACATATTCACCGCCTCCTGGGGTCCTGGGAGGTCGGCTCCGTAGGAGGTGGATACGAATACGTTCCAGGCTCGCTCCTTCCCCTTCGGCATGCCCCTCTCACCTTCAGGCATCCCTAGGGTAAATATGAGTGAGAAGTGAGAAGGGGCGGGCCTTCTCAGAAGGCTCGGAAGTTCCCCGGCCTTTGAGGAGTTCTCTCAGCCTTCCGCGAAGACACGGACAATGTTCCAGAAGGGGCCAGGGTTTGGGAGAAGCCCTGCCTTTTTCTACACAGGCCTTCTCGTTCTCACTTCCGCCCCTGGCTCGCCGCCGATAGGAGTGAGTGCACGGTATGGTCGGGGCCACGGAGTCTCCGAGGCATCATGGCCCCCTCTCCGGTATGATCGAAACGGGTGCGGAAAGAAAGGGCACGACGATGGAAAGCCTTTCTTGCACACTTTGAGCAGGCCTCGCTGCTGGTGTCGCCGAGGATGCTGCCCATTTGGGACAGGAGGCGGCGTGCCCAACAGCCGCCGCGGCCGGCGTTGGACAACACCTCTTGTGGGGCGTCGTGCCCATTTTGCCCGTAGCCATCTTCGGCCACGCGCAGAGGTGGGTAGGGGGGACCTAAAACGACGCGAAGATCGGGACAAAATCGGATCGGGATAACTCGAAATCTCTGAGAATCGGCGGGTTTGGAGCATGTATTGGGCGCCGCGGCCGCTCCAGAGCGTTCCGGAACGCTTTGAGAGCGCTCCGGAACGCTCTGGAGCGATTTATCCTGATCCTAGCCCTGTTTCACGTAACCATCTTCGGCCACGCGCAGAGGTGGGTAGGGGGGAGGGGGGACGGCTTTTTGCAGCACCCTTGCTCCTTGCAAGGCGCGGGTCCCGTCCATCGATGGAAGATCAGCGCCTTCCAAGAGGCAGCCTCCCTCTAAGAAGAAGCCTTCCCCCATCCCCCAGAACTACCCTTAAGTCGGGCATGTCCCTCTACAGGAGGAAGACTCAAAAATAGTGAAGATATAGTCTGGGGGTGATTTTTCATTATTTTTGAGTATTTGTTTTGATTATGTCTTATTTTTCGGCCAATTTTCGCCTGTAGGAGGACATGCCCGATCTAAAACTACCCCCTCTGCGCGCCGCCACCGAGCCCCTCCTTCCCTCGGCGCATGCCCCGGACCGCCCCCGTCCGCGCGGACGCGCCCTGCGGGGCCTGTGCCCATGGTGCGCTGACACCCCTGATGGGCCCATGTTCCACCACCACTGCCACATAGGTAGGACGGGGGAGCAGGGAGGATGGGGAGGTCCTCCTCCTCCTCCTCCTGCCTCTCCTACCTTCTGGTGGTGGTGGTGGCAAGTCGGCCCATCAAACCCCCCTCTCCTCTGAAGTCGGGCATGCCCCTCTCTATAGGAGCAGTAGTCCAGCACAGTGAACACCAGTTGTCCCGGGACGAGGTGCCGTGCCCTCGTTTTGGCCCTGTTTGAGCCCTGCTGGACCCTTTTCCACTCCTCCGAGATCCCCTCCCTGTGGGAGGACCTTCCCGACCCCAAAAAAGCTTCGCTCCCCGGCCCCCGCGCTCTGGACTCCGGCCCTCCCCCCTCGGTCCCCTCCGTCGCGCGTGCGCTGGCAGTGCCGAGGGGGTGGGGGGGGGGGGGCGCTCGGCCTCGCCCTCGCCCCCCGCGCCCAGAGCAGCTCTTCTGGCCGTTCGGCCCCCTCACTCCGACTTCTGCACTGGCACATTGTCGTCTCAACTTCGCGCTCAGTGTGCACTTGGTTCTCGTGATGCGAGCGGCACGCGTACGAGCTACAGGACCGACACCTACGCACGTACTTGTGGGACCACTTTCCATCTCTCTTCCAGGATCCCCCTGTGGGAGGACCTTCCCGACCTGCATCTTCGCTCCCCGGCCCTCCCTTCACCACCCACCAAACCACCCCAACCCAACCCGAAGGCTCAGATTTGCCCTCGATTTCTAGTGGGGGGGGGTCCGGGAACCTCGAGAAAACACACATGGAGCCAGTACCCCCCCCAACCCGAAATTCGGGTCTTCGGGTTGGGTTGGGGTGGTCTGGTAGGTAGTCATCCCTCGGCCCTCCTCGCGTCGCGCGTGCGCCTGCGGTGCCGGGGGGGGGGAGGGCGCTGGGCCTCGCCCTCCGCCCCCCGCGCCGAGAGAGCGGCTCCTCCGGCGTGCGCCCGGGCCACGGAGGGCGGGCGACGTGCACCTCTCGGGAGGGGGAAGAACACACGGACACACAGTGAATCGTCGATTCCTCGGTAAATATGAGGAAACTACGGGAAGTGTGGGGGGGAGGCAAGAGCCCAGACAATATGGGGAACCATAGGGGAATATTTTTTGAGCTGTGTGCATCTATGTGTGTGTGTGTGTGTGTGTGTCCTGGGGCCCCTTCAACATCCCTGATCTGCCCAGGGGAGCCTCAGCAGGCGGGAGGCACAGGGAGTTCCGACGAGCCAGAACCTTCACAAGCGTACGCGTTTTCTGCGGCGGTTCCCGCGGGTTGGCTTCGGTCGTCGCTGCCCCCCCCCCACCTTCGCCTGGCTCATTCGGTCTGCTTGTCCACGCTTCCCCTCTGCTCGTCCCGCCGCCGTGCTTCTTCTGTCCTCCTCTCCTCCGTCCTCGTCCTCGTCCTCGTCCTCCACTTCTGCACCTGGTATCTTTTTTGTCGCCCGTGCCCTGGGCTATACCTGGCTCACCTCCTCGCCCTGGTGGGCGCAGTCACTCTGCACGTGCCGTGGTCGCCTCGTCTCACGGCGGTGATGCGCGAGCCGTCGTGGCTCCTCTTCTGACTCGGCTCCTCTGGGCAGTCTTGGAGCTCCCTGCCAACCCCCCAGGGGACTCGCCCACCTCTGGGGGAACACGTGGGCCGCACACGCGTGGATGTTCAAACTCCTCTGCACCCTCCTCGTCTGCCCCTCACTTCTGCACCAGTCGTTCTGCATTCCCTCTCTTCTCGGCTCTCCCTCCGCCTGCCCCCCTCCCTTCATGGGTGTCTGGCGATACGAATCTGCACTTATCCTCGTGTCCATGGTTCTGATGCGGACGCCGAACCATGATGCTTGTCCTTCTCATGCGTCCCCCTCCCCATCGCCCCCTCCCCTGCCTTCTTCATCCGCTCATCCTCCCTTCCCTTCCTCATCCAGCCTTACCCTCACCCGCCTTCATTTTCCCCAGCTCTTACATTGCGCCCGCACCATGGCGCGCACATCTAGGGAATTCAATTTCAGGCGGACCGACGTTGAGGGGGCTCACCTTGTTCCACTCGGGTTGCGAAAACAACATTCACAATGCTAATTTTCATGCGGTATGTTGGATCATGATGTCAATCGTTGGGAATGTACATCGCCACAACTCAACGGTGCCAACACGGAGCAAACAAATGCGTTCAGTTGACCCAGCTCCAGGCATATAGACCGCTTGTTCGAATCACACTTAGCCGCTAACGCGGAAGTGTACGTGTGTGTGTGTGTTCTTGTTTGTGCGTGCTTTGTGTGTCGGAGGCAGCTATAGCTTCCCCGCCCCGCTTGCTTATGTTCGCGCTCGTGCTGCGCAGCGATTTCGAAGGGAAACAGGGTGCGATTCCGTGTTTGTGCAACTGTCTGCTCGTGACGCTCGATGTTCCTCAGGACGCATGTTTGCCCATTGTGTGTGTGACGGAGGAGGAGGAGGAGGAGGAGGAGGAGGAGGAGGAGGAGGAGGAGGATGAGGAGGAGTGTGTGTGTGTGTGACCCCTTCTCAGCTCCACCGACAGCACGCACAGGCCGTGTCGGTGCTCGTGACACCGCTTGCGTCGTGTGTCGGAGGGCTTTCTTGGTGCACAGGAGCACGCTTGCGCTACCGCGCGTTCTCAGAGTCTGTGAAGCGCTTACACACCCAGACATGATCGCGTCGTAAAATATCAGGACGGGGGGCTTTGGGTCATGTTCGGCCCCGGGGGGCCCTCGCCGGGCCTCGGGACCGTCAAAAAACGACCCAGGACGAATAACTGGTCCCAGGGAAAGGGTCGGGACTTCCAGGGTCGCCGTCCTGACAAAATCAGGACGTCGCATGTCTGGGCACGCGTGCACGCAGAGAGTGCAGGGCGACGCGGGAGGGTCTTCGAGAGCAGAACCGTGCCTGCCGCCGCGGCCCCCAGGGGATGGTCTACTGGCCCGCCCACCTGCACGTCGGCCTCTTTCGTCAGTCGCGCTCTGCTTCTGTCTTGCGTTCGCTTGCACCCTCCCTGCTGACGTCGATCACGGTTGACGATTCTCAAGACGCATGTTGTCTCACTGTGTGCTTACCCATCGGTCGTTGAGAGTAGGAATGCGCCTAAGGCGCCTTACTACTTCAAGGGTCGAGTGACTTCACCTCTTCCGTCCTCTTTAGGGGGCGGGCGGAAACCCAATCTTATTTCAACGCCTTCCTACTTCTTGTTTCTACCTACTTCTTCCGACCGATCGGTACTGCGCTCAGCTCCACCGATAGCACGCAGCCCGCGTCGGCCCTCGTGGCACTGCCTGCGCCGCGCAGAAGGGCCGTCCTTCCTGGGGAGGGGGGTCTACAGGCAAGGTGCTGACGTTGTCGGGCCGTTCCTTTGATCCAGGCTGGGGAACCTCTTCGTGGCCGAGGCTCATCGTGACCAGAATCGGACCAGACGAAAGGGTAGGATAGGGAAAGGGGGAGTAACGGAACCTGCTGCAAGCAGTTGGTTTCCGCCCCGCCGCCGGGCCATTCC